TTAACAATCATATTCTAAAGTGAACTAAAAAAAAAAAACTTTAGCATCATCCTCACTTGTACTTTAACTCCTCTTTGGTTAAGCTAACTCTAAACAAATTATGTCATTCCTTGCTCATTCAGTCAAAAGCTATCTGGAGTTTCTTAGTCCCACATTTATTTTGAATATAATCAATCCATCTTCTCCATTCCAGCTTATATTTCTCATCTGAATGGTCCTTAAGATATGCTGATATTTTAGCCAGCTCAGATTGCTCATATCCTACAGGTTCTGACTTTTTACTATTCTCCTTTTAAATGTATTTTATTATTATTAAATATCAATAATTAATTAATGTTAAATATTAGCATTGTTACTTACTATATTGATAAGAAATACAATCCTATGGCAACACTTTCATCAGTGTATGCATATGTATAAGTTTATATACTATTTGCATCCTGGGTATTAAATTGTGGTGTTAACTTACAATATTACTCTTGGGGTCGAACATTCGTGTTATACTTTTATTAGATAGTGTTTACTGAGTGGACATTTTACTTCTTTAACTTTTTTAGGATGACAGACTTCGTTCACAACAAAGAATGTATTCACATATGCTTTTACAATCTAAATAGGCACCCTTGCTATTCATCCATTTATTCAGTCTTTACGAACACGCCTTCCTGATATGTTGGGTAACATTACCATTACCCTCACTTACCCTAACAATATCCAAATACACCCTTCCAAAAATCTGCTTTTGATGATTTCCCAAGCCTGTTGAGGCTTCTAGGGTTGATCCAAATGGCCAAGGGTTTTTTAGATTCCATCCATGGAGTTGCCTGTTCTCTAACCATAGTCAACTTGAGTTTAGCACATTTGCCCAACTTTCTTGGATAAAGAAATGCACGAATGCCTTCCTGTTGTCAAATAACAGATTACAAGTACCAGAAACTACCAGATTGCTACTTGCAATATTAATGACAGCTAGCCTTATATTGCATTTTTATTATACTTAGTCTTCAGTATGGATTATTTTTAAAAGGAATCATCTGCACTCACTTCCTAGTGGTTGGCAATGATTTTCTCATCTGTTTGTAACCATGGATCTCCAATCTTCTATTCCCAAACTTCATTGTGAAAAGTCAAATTACAAAGCACCCGGCCCACACACCTTGATTAGATGAGACCTAGCCATAAGGCCCCAGCTTGGGTAGCTGTGAAGAGATGTATTTGAATGGTCTCCATTGCTGTGGTTTTGAAATGGCTGGTTTATACAGATTAACAGAGTTGGAAGGGATCTTGTAGGTCATCTAGTCCAACCCCTCACTCAAGCAGACCCTACAATATTTTTGACAGATGGCACTCCAGTCTCTTCTTGAAGGCTTCCAATGATAAAGCTCCCACAACTTCTGAACGCAAGCTGTTCCATTGGTTGATTGCTCTCACTGTCAGAAAATTTCTCCTTATTTCCAGGTTAAATCTCTCCTTGATCAGTTCCCATCCATTATTCCTTGTCTGGCCATCAGGTGCCTTGGAAAATAGCTTGACCCCCTCCTCTCTGTGCAGCCCCTCAAATATAGGAACACTGCTATCCTCCCCTGATCCTTCTCTTCACTAGACTAGCCATGCCCAGTTCCTGCAACAGTTCGTAGTACGTTTTAATCTCCAGTCCCCTAATCATCCTGGTTGCTCTTCTCTACACTTTTTCTAGAGTCTCAACATCTTTTTNCTGTTTCAGAAAAAGACACCAGATTAATCTCTTATGGGAGCCTCATTGCAAATAAAAACACCATGCATGACAGCAACAAGTACTTCAAAAAATCAGTTATAAAATATGAAGAGCCCCCTGTAGAATCTCTTAGAAGTGTTCTAAAATATTTATTAACCAAACTGATGTTTGAGTGCACAGTAGGAAAAGTCTTAGGTCAGCCAGATATCTTCTACTGAGATATCAATATGGCCCTAATCCTCTATTAAGGATTAATTTATATTTACCCTGGAAGCCCTGAGCTTCTTTATCTCATATAATGGGGAGCGGGGTGGCAAGAAAGACCATTGGCTTACCTGAACGGTCATTCTATGTGCGCCACGGGAGAATCCAAGCATGGGTTTAACTTTCGTCCATTAGCCTTGAGACTGGGTTTTAAAAAGTCCTGGCCTTGCCCCCCTTGGATGATAAAGCCCAGTTTTGTAAGAAGGCACAGCCGGACTGATAGATGGAAATAAGATAAGTTCTGAAAAATACAACCGGTAAATCTTTCCCCTAGACCCCGGACCGAGACACCAAGGGTGGGGTTGGATTCTCCCACGGCGCACATAGAACGACCATTCAGGTAAGCCAACAGTCTTTCTCCTGTACGCCGCTTGGAGAATCCAAGCATAGGACATGCCAAAGCATATGGATCTCAGGATGGGCACTGGAACGATCTGTGGTCTCAGGAACCTCGATGACGCTCTGCAGTACACAGTGCCCAAAGGATGCCTCGGCGGAGGCAAATATGTCTAGTTTATAATGTTTCATGATCCGCCTGACATGCCAGATGGTGAATTGGGGCCTAACCCAATATCCTCTGCCAACAATCCCTGTGAAACCAAATCTGGAAACCAACCTTGGTTCACCTGTAAATTGGGAGGAGAATTAGGCTGGGAATGGGAGGAAAGGGTCTCCAACGGTAAAGGCGGTGGTGAATTATTGTTGTGGGATAAAATGAAAAACACAGGAGGACAGACTAGCTTAGGGAACTCCTAGATTATCTGGTTAGTAACCCAGCATACTTTTTTTTTNCGTGCTTTTATTAAACTTTTTCCTGGTATTTGTCAGGGAACACACTGTCGCCGCCACCGACTGCCAAGCAATCATCCCAGAACACCTACTGGTAGTCCAGGAGCCTAAGTAGTTTAAAGTACTTACTATTCTATTAAGCTGGAGCTGAATGCTCACTGTAGTTTCTGCAACCAGAAAACATTGCTAAGCCAAAAGTTCTACAAGGGTAGGCTCATGCAAGGGGTGGTTAGGGGGCGGAGTTTCAGGTAAGTCTTCATTCTCAGCTCGGGGGGCGATGCCCTCAGAAGCTCCCCGACCAGAAGACCGAGCCAAAACAAAGTCCTCAATCTTAGATTGCTTCAAGAAAGGTTGAAAAGCCAAGTCAATGGGAGATCTGCTCCTTTTCCTTGTCTACTGCCCAGCTTCTTCTCCAATCCTTTTCAGGGCCTCCATTGGGGCGGGGACAACTGCTCCCAGTTGATTTCCCAAGGCTGGTTGTAAAGCTTTTAGCAGAGGCAGTGGAGTTAATTCAATAGGCGTGCCCTGAGACCAAAACTGGGAGGAGCTTTGCGACCTCTTCTGCCTGGCTTTTCTGACGGACTTCTGAGAAAATCCGTCTACTTTATCCATTGATGGAGGAGTGGTTGGTGCTGAGGACATATCCCTACTTGATCCATCCTGGTAGAGAATCCGGAGACAAGGAGAGAAAAAGACGAGGTCGATCCCTGGCAGCCAGCCTAGTCGGCCAAGGGTGGTATTCACTTACTTTCCCTACAGGTTTGCAAATGTGAGCACGTTTGGCAAAAATAAGTGCCTAAATGGGATGACATAGTGCTGGGGTGGGTGGGCGGAGCCACCCACAATTTCTGCTACCGGTTTGGACGAACCTGTTGGAACCGGTAGAATACCACCTCTATCTCTGGCCAATACTTATTGGAATATGTAGATGGAAACAATATTGCAATAATAATTTGAAAATGAGAGGTGATTCATCCCCCTCCTTTGGTTCAAAAAAAGATGATTGGGAAATGTTGATTGCCTTACCTCCTATAGCATCACACCTGGAGGCTATCTCCCATAAAACCAGAGCCATAGAATAGACATCCATTTGTTTAAAGGATTCCAGATCTTCAAGGTTCACTCTGGATTCCAAAACCTCAGGAGCCATGTATCTGGCAGTGCCCACCTAATGATAACCACATACAGATTAAAACAGGTACACATGTGAAAGGGTGAGAAAGAAGCCATGTTAATTTAAAGGCAACACTGAAAGCTATGACAGATCCATCCCATCACATGAAATGTCTTGTCACAGGCTTTGGCTACAAAATAAAATACACTTTTAAATCACCATCATAAAATACAAAACATCTCCAATCTTGAATCTTCAGAATTTTGCCCAGGGAATATGTTAACCGTTTATGTTGAAATTTTGAGTAGTAGTGAATATGCAAAAAATCCTCAGGAAACACTCATTTGTACTCATTTTGGTTTGATAAATGCTTCTCCATACCTTTGCTGCTTTTTCCAAAAGACAGAAAAAGAAGAAAGTTCTGGAAAATAGCATGGTTTGAGATCCTAACCAAGTGATCAACAAAGATGATTCTGAACCAGTGCTGAATAAAGAAAGTGTGTGTGTGTCAATGGTGGGATTCAAATTTTTTTACTAACAGTTTGTGGGTGTGGCTTGGTGGGCATGGCAGGGGAAGGATACTGTCAAATCTCCATTCCCTCCCAATCAGCTGGAAGTCAGAGAATAGATGGGGC